CCATCCATCCATCCATCCATCCAACCAACCATCCATCCATCCATTCATCCATCCATCCAACCAACCATCCATCCATCCCTCCAACCATCCATCCATCCATCCATTCAGTTTTTCCTGCCTAATCCCACTCAGCATCTCTGGAGTCTTGGACATTTCACCAGCAGCTCATTTAAATTGATCTTATCTCCAATTTGCATGATTTTTCGACAGCGAGAAAAGCCGAGTACCTGGAAAAACCCCAGGATCACAAACACAACGCCATATGGAAAGACAATACACGACTAATGGGGAATCACTGGTAATCTCTTAGCTGTAAGATTCTTGTGTAGTGATTAGCTGAGAGTAGCTGCAGCATATCTCCTCTACGTACAGTGTAGTGGGACATATGGTAGTTCAGCCACCGTCTTACATTAACACAAGAAGCAAACACACTGTAAGTAGCTTTGACTCTGTAAATTCAGTTTTTTAAAGTCGCAGACACGAGATTTCGTTTGACGACAGAACAAACAACACAGCGGCTGCTGGAGGAGAGCGCTGTCAATCATACACACGTCTCCTCCAGATCTGATCAAACAGACATCTTAGAGTCTTATATAAATCAAACACACGTGTCGTCACACTCGCACAATTACAGTCACCCCCCCCGCCTCCCCCGCTGTCATGCAAACACGCTGATAGACACAAGCAGAACTAATTAAGAGGAATTCAAATTCCACATCCTTAATACTTGATACATTGGAGATCCCTAAGCAAATTTATTCAACTCTCACACAGAGCTCTCTCTCTCTCTCACACACACACACACCTTAAATCTACCAGCACCCACGCCTGTTTACACAGTCACGTAAACCTGCCGTCACCTGCCGCAGACACACACCGAGGGAGGAGTGCAGAAATAAAGCGGCGGGGCAAATGAACGTGCGAGTGCGTCGGCTGTTTGCTTTAATTTACCCCGACGACAGTGGCCGTAGGCTGCGCAGTTTATGATGATAAATTGAGTGGGAAATCCCTGCTAATAAATCAGGGCCTTTGATGAAGAAAAGCCTTTAATAGGATATTCAGATTTATATCAGAGACTCCAGCTATTTGCTGACAAGGACACAATTGCTCCCTCTGCTGCCTGTCTCTCTCCCCCTCTGACACACACTCAATCTCCCACCACCACCACCGCCGCTGCTGCCGCTGCTCTTTCTCTTTGGGCCAAGTAAATAAATGCTCTTCACGCGCGTCTTCCTTGGCATCGGCAGTTTGATTTTTATCAAGGCTATAGACGGTGGAACCAGGGTGGGGAGGGGGAGGAGAAACTGGAGGTAAAAATGGAGGGAGGCTGAGAAAAGCAGAGGAGCACAGGGGGAGGTGAGGGGTGAGGGAGGGAGGGGTGAGGGAGGTGAGGGGGTGTCTCTGCTGAAAGCTTTGCGTTATTGGCTCAGTGGCCGAGCGTGAGTGTAACACATGGAGCTTCATTACCAGAGCGGGGGGGCTATCTGTGTGACAGGATGCTGGAGAGAGAGAGAGAGCATGTGTGTATACGTGTGTGTATGTGAGTGTGTGTGTTTTCTGCATTTGTAGCAAGATTGAATTTCTGCCCCTTGTTCCTGCTCTTGGGATTACGTGTGTGTGTTTGTGTGCATCTCAGTGTGTGTGTGTGTGTGCGCGCGCCTTAGATTTGCAACGTGAGCACACACTCTCTCAGTGACTTATTTACTCCAGAGGCTCTAACAGCCCCACACAAAATCACCCCCCCCTCTGCCCCTCCACCACTCACCCCTTTGTTCCTAACTGCTCAGACACGAGGTGAAAATCTATTTGTGAGTGAGTGAGTGTGTGTGTGTCTGCATGAATAAAAGACCCGGAATATACGGTGGGAATTGTTTTCTTTTTCTTTAGGAATCGACGCTCAGTTATTGGTGTCCATCTCATTTATTGACGTCGTGTCTGGTTAATTGGGAGATAAAACGCTGCCTGGAGAAAAGAAGAAACGATGAAGTAGATGAGTTAGTGAGGGCGGAAAAGTTGCCGTTATCAAGGCTGAGTGTCCTCTCTCTCCTCTCTGCTCCAAACACAGACTTCTCCATGATAAATAAAAACTACCTTCACATCCAAACCACAGTGTTTGTTTAACAACATGTGCAGGTTGCTCTGTTATCAGCAGTCTAAACTGCTGCTGCAGAATGTGGGGCAGTAGGTCAGTACAAACAGAGACCTTCATTTACTCCCTCTGATTAAGTCAACCTCGTCTCCTTCGCTGAATCACCACAGTTGTGTCACATTGTTCGAAATGTCCTACAAGAAAAAGAACGTCTCCAACAACCAGGGAAAACAAAACACATCGTTCATGTGAAACTGTTTCGACCGTCTCTGCTGGTTTTGTTAGCATCTTTGTTAGCATCTGTTCTTCTTGTGAATGGCACAGTGCTGCAGGAGTTTCCTGGGGAAAGGGTTTTTGCCAACCCTAAGGAAAACTCCGCCTCAGATTTAAACCACACTTTGGAAAGGATTTTTTTGCCAACCCTAAGGAAAACTCCGGCTCAGATTTAAACCACACTTTGGAAAAGAATTACAATATTCAACTTCCTCAAGAAAAGATACAGCATGACTGAAAAAAGCATGATGAAGGAGTCAATAAAATGACCAAAGAAGAAAATATTACATATACAGGAGCAGCAACTTTATCATGTCGTTCGAGCCACTCTAAAATAATAAAACAACATTCTGCCTGACAACATAAATCAGACGTTGATGACGTCTGTCGACAAAGACTTTAATAGTAGAATTGATGTCTGTCGACAAAGACTTTAATAGTAGAAACCACTAAAACCTACATGTGTGTTTTTAGGTCCAAACTAATTAAAACAAACCATAACCTATGACCCATAAACCATGAGCTTTTTTTCTAGCTGACTTTGTTCAGTTAAATCCGAAAGAACGTGTGATAATAATATTACGTTCACAGTTTGTTCACAGCTCCAACACATGGCCACTCACAGACTAATGACAAATCTGTCGTAAATAGTCATTAAATTAATACAAATCTAATTTAAATCTAACTGAGGCGTATTACGCCAACGTGCTGCGATATTTATTTCCATTGTACTCGTGGCATCTGTGATTTTAGATTTGCTCACGTGGTCTTAATATGATGAATAATTATGGGGTCAGCATTTGACCATCATTTCATTTCAGAGAGAACGACTCCAGTATCTGCTCTATTAGACTGTTGAGTAATGCTTTCAACTCCGTTAACATAATTAAACCCTGTGTACAATTCAAAGGCGGACTACTTGCATTGCGTAATGATTACAATTAAGAGCTGCACACAAAGCAGGGACGGCGCGTGGAGGCACCGCGTGTGACGCCGGCAATTAATTGAAAATGCAAATACACAAAGCTGATGAATGAGAAGAGGGCCGCGTCTACACTGCGTGAAAAGACTATCTGCCACACTTCAGGAGGTTAGGGTGGGGGTGGGGGTGCTGGGAGGGCAGGGGGAGATGGGTGGCCTTGTATTCCTTCAGAGAGGAAATCAGACCAATTGGATATGAGGCGAAGCTGAGCTGCTGGGCAGAGCCTGCTGT